TTTGGGGGACTCCCCAGCACAAGCTGGACACAGCAGGCCTTACTGACCTTCCCACAGTCTCACCCTGAACAGGTGGTCTTGTCAGGGGCATTGTCCACAGTCCCTTCCTGTTCGACCCACCTCTGCTGGCCTTGGGCCAGCATCCACTCTCTAGCTCCACCCACAGGAGCACAGCAGGGATGGGAGAAGTACAGGCAGTCTCTCCACCCTCCCCCTTTCTGGGCACCTCTTCTTCTTATCCTGCCCTTCACCCCCAGGATGTGCCAACGGGCCCTGTTGCCCAACCTGAATAAAGGTTGACCACTTACTGCCTTTCCCCGTTGAGAAGGATCACTCTGACCTCTGCCCTAATGGTCAAACTTCCTGAGAGGGGGGCTCTATACTCACCATCCTGACTTTATCCCCAGGATCTCTTTTCTCCAAATAGTGTTGGCCCCCTATTGCCACAATCATGTCACCTGTAAGGGCTCTATCTCCAATGCTGTTGATTCTAGCATTAAGTCCTCTGATCACAACCCCTCTCCTTCTGTCTTCCTTATTTAAATCATCCTATCTTAGACCCCTCAGGACATCCAGTCCCTCTGTGTTCAGTTTCCTCTTGAGCCTGTTTCCTTGCATGCCTCTCTGGCTTAGATCTGCTAGTCCGTCACATGTTGGTGGGCTGAGCTTCATGGACATTTGGAGAACCTTCACCTTGGATGAGCCCAACTACTCATGTGCTCTGAGCCTTCTCCACAATGGTGCAGGAGGAGGTCACCACACAGGACAGAGATGTGACGTATAAAGCTACCCACCCACCTTCAATGCACCTCGTTTTCATCCAACCCTTTGTTAGCCAGCTTTGCTATCTTCATGTGGTCTAATTGTTGTTGACTCTCAATGCCTCACTTTCCCCACTGGCTCGTCCACCACCCAGTCTGACCTCCACCTCATCACTCTGTGATGACCCATAAGGACTTCCCTCATCTCCTCCACTGCCCAGGTGGCTGCCCCATCCTTCCTGGAGCCTCCTCTTCTCTGGTTTCCAGATGCTTCCTCTTGGTCTTACCTCCCCTTCCCATGGCCCTTCTGTCTCTAGTTTTGGCTTCTTCTCACCTGATCTTTTGAAGTGAAGACCCTCAGTTTCTCCAGGCCTGGAGGGGGCTCCTGTGGGTCCTCTGTGAGGTGACCACCTGCCTTGCTTGCAGATCACCCCCATGGAGCAGATCCTGGCAGAGATGACTCAGCTGGTGGTCACCTATTCTCAAGATTTAAGACTGTGGTTAGGCCCCACTTTCCCCTGCATCATTCTGTGCCACCCTGACACCATCTGGTCAGTCGCCAATACTATAGGTACCGCCTGGAGCATGTGGTGGTGGGCACTGGCATTGTGGCCATGGACGATGGCGCTGAGCTCTCTCCTGGCCAAGCTTCAGTGTGGCTCCTGAAAGACACAGAATCTTCCTCTCTTGGTGCCTTTGGCCATCCATGTCTTCCTCTCACCTGTTAGCTAGCTCCTACTCTGATGTTCTGGATGTGAGGACCCACCTGGGGAAGACTCAGCCCCTGACCCTGCCCTGGAGGAGCCCCCAATCTCGGGTACACAGAACTAGATGGAGATCCCCTAAACCTGTGTGGTCAGGGCTGGGCAGCCCAGAAGGGAGGTGTGGTGTCTGCCTTTGGGGCAGGTAAGAGGGCTACCTGGAGGAGGGGCTGCTGGAAAGAGGAATGGAGTTTTTAGGCAAGAAGAAAGAAGATATTCTGTGTGGAGGAACGGCCCCCTCAGAAGCTGAAGGAGAGTGAGTGAGCACCTGGCTGTGAACATCTAGGTGTTCAGTGCAGGTGGATCAGTAGAGTGGGGAAGAAAGGTGGAGAGGAGGGCGGAGCTAGCAGGGCCTCAAGGCTGGGCTGGGGTCTGGGACTTGACTCTGAGGGTGATGGGGAGCCATCAAGGGTGTGTGAGCAGGGGAGGGTTGTAGTCAGACCTGGATTTGTGAAGCACACCTGGGGCCCACGTGGGCACTGAGGAGTCCAGGGAGGAGACTGTGGTCCTGCTGGGCATTTTTCATGTACACTATGCAGGGAATGGGCCAGAGAGGGGCTGACTGGCTGGAGAGCAGGGGGGATGGGGATGCTGGCCCCCGGTTTTCTGTCCTGTGGAGGTGAGCAGTTTAGGGGCCAAAGGTTGAGCTCCATTGGACCCACACTGAGTCTGAGGGGATAGGGAAACCAAGAGGAGCTGCCCAGGAGGGGTAGACCACTGTTGGCCCAGGAGAGAGGCTGGGAACATGGGAGTATCAGAGAAGAGATGGGGACTGAAGCTGGGCTCTCAGGGAGCAAAAGCCCAGAGAGAGGAAGGTACAGGCCTGAACCAGGAACTGCAGTATTTTGAGGTTGAGCTGAAGGGCAGCAAGTGAAGTGTACAGAGGAGTGTATATGGGGGACCAGGAGGGGGTAGTTTTGGACACCAGGAGAACAGTGTTTGGGGGTGCATGGTCACCTGTGTCTTTGTCCTTCTTTCTTTGACAGCCTGTCTTTCTGTATCTTTCTGTCTCTTTGATTCTCTCTCTCACTTGTGTTTCCTCCCTCCACCTCTCTCTCTGTGTCTGTCTGTGGGTCCCTGGGTGGGGCAAGTCGTTTGCAATTGGCTGCTCATAGAAAGGTTGGCAGTTTGAACACAGCAAGCAAAACCTTAGAGAGTACAGCTCTATTCTGACACACGGGGTCATCATGAGTCAGAATCAATTTGATGGCAATTTTTTTTTCCGATCTGTCTCTCTCCATAAAGAGCTCTGGTGGCATATGCCTAAGACATTTGACTGCTAACCAGAAGGTTGGCGGTTCAAACCCACTAGCCATTCTGTGGAAGGAAGAGTGGGCGATCTACTTCTGTGAAAATTTACTGCCTCAGAAACCCAAAGGAGAGGGTCGCCATGAGTTGGAATCAACTTGCTGGCAGTGAGTTTGGGTGTTTTTTTTTTTTTTTTTTTTTTCTCTCTATGTCTCTGTTAGACTTTGCCCAGATTTCTCTACATGCTGCTGCCCCAGGTGCCAGCAGCTGTGAGTGTGGCCTCCAATAGCCCACTGATGTCCCTGTGTTCAGAGACTGCCCTCTGGTGAAGGAAGTGTCATACTCAGAGATTTTGGAAGGCGAGGTCCCTCGCTCCCAGGAGTGGATGGGGCATGGCATCCGATAGCTGACTGACATGGGGGTACAAATGCATAGTTCCCTTGTTTCAGACAAAAGCAAGACCAAACCCATTGTCATCGAGTTGACTCTGACTCATGGTGCCACCATGTGTGTTAGAGTAGCAGTGTGCTCTGTAGTGTTTTCTTGGCTGTAATCTCTACAGAAGAAGATCACCAGGTCTTTCCTTCATGGCACCACTGGGTAAGTTCAAACCACCAATCTGTAGGTCAGTAGTTGAGTGCAAACTCTTTGAACTACCCAGGGACCTTAGGAAACTAAGGCAATTGCGTTGGAGTTGATTCTGACTTAGGGATGCCCCATGTGCTTCTGAGTAGAACTGCTCCATGGGGTTTCCTTGGCTGTAATCTTTATGGAAGCAGATAACCAGGCCTTTCTTCTGCGGTGCTGTGGGATGAGTTTGAACTGTCAACCTTTAAGTTAGCAGTTGAGCACAAACCATTTGCACCATGCAGGGACTGTCCCTTGCTTCAAAGCCTATGACTCAAGGTCCTATTCATGCTCCAGAGATGCCCCCTGAGGTCAGACAGAGATCCAATTCCAGCTGAGCCCACACTTGCCTGCCTGTCTCACTTTCTTCCAGCCCCTTCTGAGAGCCCTTCTTCAATAAACCATGTGCCCAAGCACCCCCAACTCAAACTATGCTTCTGAAGAATCCAAACTAAGTCAGTGCCCCTTGATCCTTCTCCCTCCCAGCTCTCCTTCTCCTGTCTGTCCCCTCCCAAGAGTGACTTCTACCCATTTCCCTCCACTCCACTCTCAGTCCTCTCTGGGGTCCCCCTTGATCTCCCCCAGCTGGCTTTGGCCCTGATGCAGGTGTAGGGTGATGTGTCACTGGGCTGGGCAGTGCATCCTTCTGGGAATTTCAGCCCGGGACCTTACCATATGCCAGCAATGGGGCACTGGGATGCTGGGATGAAGCCCTGGACTGGGCTGGGCTGGGCTGATGCTGGTGGAGCCAGAGTGTAAAAGGGGTTGTGTCTGCACTTGCCTCAGTGGTGGTCTTTGCTAATGGATTTAGCTCAGAATGAAGAGAAGAAATATTAGAGGCTGGAGGGATGGGGG